TTCCTTCTTCTTAAGGTCACCCTTTCGTTGAACTACGTGTTTTTTGAGTTTTTTTCTTTCTCTACTTCATCTTTGGACATGGAATGTTTCAGTTTATTGCATTGAGATTTGAGGACGTAGAGATTCAACTTATGCTTCTTTCTCATCCCTCAGGTGCTTGAGGTTGAGATTGAGTATATAAATCATGTAATCGAGCGGAACTTGAATAGTTTTGAGTTTTATTTCTAGTGAAGCTTGAGTTTGAATGATGGTGTATTTGATTGAGCTCGAGTTTAGTTTCTAACAACAAATTTAAGTTCAAGCTAAAGCTTCACACCATTTGTGCTTGACTCGGTTTGATTGCACCCCTGTTTCATTATTTCTGAGCATTAATCTATGAAAACTTGTGAATCAAATACACATATGACATCTGTTAAAAGCATAATGGGGTCTTAATTATAGGGGTATTATCGATTCTCCAATGTAAATGATCAACATAAATTAAGAACATTCTCTAATGAATGATGTAATATCCCAAATTAAGGGCTAGTGACTAAAATTGAAGTTTTGAAACTATGAGGTCTAATTTCGAAAGATTGAAAAATTCACGGACTAAATTGGGAAATAGTTTGTGAAGGATTTAATAGTAAAGTTTGAAAGTACTAAGGGTATAATGGTCATTTGATAAGAAAGATTTTTATTTTTCCTTTATAAAGGAAAATCACGTGGAAAATGATAGAAATGAAAAGAGAAATCTGGAACTTTGCTTATTCTTCTTCCTCCTCTTCACCGTGAGCTCATTTCAAAGGTGAGTTGGATTCAACTTGAGTGTTTCTTTAATTTTAAGGTTTTTTTTTATTCTTAGAGTGATAAAAAAGCTTAAAGGAATTTTAAGTGGCTTAAAACTTAAAGAATTTCAAGTTATGAGAGATTAAGAAAAATGAGTTTTTAAGTGAATTGATGAAATAAAAGGAGTTAATGGATTTAGAAACTGGAATTGACTTGTCATCAACCTAATTAAGAAATATGAAGTGTTAGAATTGAAAGTAGAACATATTGAAAATTTGGCATGATTCTTGATTTCTATATAGAGGATAGAATTTTTAAGATAAAGATGTGATAAATGAGCAAAAATGGGTGTAAGCATGTGTATGTAAGCAAAGAGTATGAAAGGGAATGAAACATCAAGTGTTGAAGCTGAAAAGAGTTAATTTTTGGGCTTAAAAAGGAAAATCTGGGCTAGGGGTATCGATATCGATTCATCAGGTACCGATACTTCAAGAGTAAAATTAAGGAAGTCATTCTTGAGGTATCGATACCTGAGGAACAGTATCGATACCAAGGGTACTGATACCTTAAGGACGATATCGATACCATCTTTGAAACGAAAAATTACAGAATGCAATATGGGTATCGATACCTAGGCAAGGTACCGATACTACAGTTAGGAAGTATCGATACCCTAAGGGGTACCGATACTACTTCAAGTAGAAAAGAGAATTAAACCTTTATTCTAGCTTAAGAAATTAAGGATCAAATTATAGTATTGGGAATGATGATATGTATATTATATGTATGATTGTGTAGATATCGATCGAGAGCAACGTCCGGACAAATTGACAAGTAATAGTCATCAAGAAGAGATAAGGAATTGGTATTGACTAGTGAGGCCAGGTGAGTGCTAGTTATTATATATAGGACGTTTTATGGAAATAAGACTTGTGATGAGTCTATTTCCACTATTAGATTGTATAAGTCCTTGAATGCAATTGTTGTATTAATATGATTTCTTTGTGGATATGAACACATGCATATGTTTATAGGTTAAGTATGTGAATATTAGTCATGAGAATACGTGTTTATATGATACATGTTAAGTATCCATGATATATGTGAAAACATGATAATATGATATAAGTGAAGTTATGTGATACTAGATTATGAAACTGTATGAAAAGGGTTATATGAGTATGTAAAATAAGTTATCAGATCATGAATCATATAAAATAGTAAATGACTTATAGGATAACAACGGAAAGAATATGAGCTAAGTGATTATAAACAGGTAGATATATGTTTAGATGAAGATATGATAACAAGACATAAATTATATGAGTTAAGTATTAGAGGAAATTAGTATAATAGACTTATTGTATTAGAGGAAAAGTGAGAGAAGCTAACTAACATTGATCTTTCGGATAATAGGAGAATATAAAATAAGTCATGTAATTATATGATCATAAGAGGTAAGCAATATGATAAGATAAATTTGATACATAAGAAGGTAATACAAGTTGTGTATAAGCGATGAATTATGCAAATATAAAACATAAAATAATGAATTATGAGACCATATGCGAATAATATATAAATTAGGGGACATGATCGTAAATGATAATACTAAAGTATAGGATAAGCCTTATAGGAAAGTTGTATATACTTAAAGGAAATTATGATATAGGAATTATCGAATGAAGAATTATAAAATCCTATGAGAAGGTTATAAGTGTTATATGATTTAAGCAGAGAAATGCATATAAGATTATATGCCTGTATGATCATATGAGAAAGTGAACTAAGTTCAATGATTTTATGTGAATATAAGGGAATAAAACGTAAACTATATGAAAAGATATAAGTCATATGATATGACATTGTTAACATATGAGAAAGGGTATAAGAGATATATGTGTTACGTGATATATGTGATATATATGATATATGGGAAACATATGTGAACAAGAGATGGCAATGACATACATGTTATATGAACACATGAGAAGTGTTATAAGCTAAGTGACATATGAATATGAAACCATATGAAAAGTGACATGTATATGTGAATATGTCTATGCGATATAAGTGATATGAACTATCATAAATGCCCATGTTATGTGATATGAGAGCTATAGGTATAGTTGGCATGCCAAGAGTCGAGGGTTACCTAGATTCTTCAGGACCTATGGATAGTGGTCCTTCGGAACAAATTCTAAGTGCCCCTAGTGGGAATTATACGAGCTGTGGTGACAGCATATGTGCACAACCTCTATGTATTCACATATCTTTAGTTTTCACATGTGTACATGGGCTAATAAAGAGATAACAACAAATACATTATATATGATTTATATGTTTTGTGCTATGAAACATGTTATAAGAATTATAGGATGCTATGTATATTTCTTTGCGAAATGATATGCTTGTTATATGATGTACAGAAATAATAGGTACAATATCATTTGTTAAAATGGATTAATTATAATAATATATGATAGGGATAAGAATGTGAATGATGATATGTGTGCAGGTGAATAGTTGTTGCATGACAGAATATATGATTTTTGTATGACATGATAGTATAGATTATGCATGCATTGTTAGGAGTTAAAGTTCATATTATATGTTTTGCTATGCCTCATTAGGTCATAGACTTAGCGTGTGTATGTTTCACACGTAGGTTCCGACAAGAGAAAAAGGAGTGAAGATAGGCGATCCAGGTCAGCTCCTCCTTTCAACAAATCAGATCACAAATTATTTGAATGCGTGTATTTTTATTACATATAATGTTGTTGGCATATAGTCTAAAGATTTGAATTGTATAAGCTCTAATATGTTTTGTAAAACCAATTGATTTTAAATAAAAGAAAAGTATTCACTTTCTTGAATTATGAAATTAACTTTTAGTCATTTTGTAAAAAAAATGTTTGAAAAGTCAATGTGATACCTTGGACTCGGATCCAGGTCGGATACAGGTTGGGGGTGTTACAAATGAAATGTCTCCTATATGCATTTGCATCCTCCTACAGGAGTGTGCACTGGTTTGCTAAAATTTTCAGTCGGTGCTAGGATGTAGAAAGGCTGAAAACCTTGACAACCCTACAATTGCATACTATTTATTGGCAACCCTGATTAAGCATTAAATTATTGCATGCTGCATTGTTTGAGTCTTGTATTTGATGACTTTTAAGATCCTTTTTAAACACCTATGAATTTCTTACCCCTGAGGAAGATTTGTCATCAACCATAAACCCGTTACAGGTTGCAGAAGCTACATACCCCAATAACCTGACATCCACCAATTAACCCAAAACTAGCACGGAACCTCGTACAGTGACAGCCCCTATTTTAGAAACTGAAACAATGCAGAAGCAGGATAGAAGTACCCAGTTCAGCCCCAGTTTCTGTTGCAGCCCAAACTGCAAACAGATGGTCCAACGTCTATGATTAATACGCTAAAGTTGTTGAAAAGGTTGCAGATGCTAACAATTAGGGAACGAAAAGTGTTAATAATTATGGCAACGGTTTGTTTTGGAGTGGTTATCGCTTTGTAAGGAAACTGGTTCAAATATAGGGAAGATGGTGAAATGTTTAAAAGAAAACTAAAAATTTTAACAAATTTAGTGTAAATTAGATATAAAAGCATTGTTCAAAAACTTATTTAATGTTTCAATAATAGTTTAGGGATAAAATCAAATATTATTTTTTTGTTAATGTTGTCGCATCATTAATTTGACGGGATTATAGTGGAATGACCTTTTCTTACAAATCAATAACGGATCAATTGATTACTTTTGAAACTTCAGTAAAAAAATTAAAACTTATTCAAACATTAGCAATGGTATACCCTACATTTAATGACCTAAAACGCATCTCAAACACAAAATACAATGTAGCAATTAACTTGCATGGAAATTCTCTCAAGCGCATGATAAACAATGTTGTTAGCTTCATATGCTCCTGCAAGTCAGCCATCTAACCGGTCTAATTAATTAAGTAATGTATATATTTCCGATATAAGTTTTAGAAATTTGTTTAGTACGTTAGTTATTGGGACACAAATATTAAATAAATTCTTTTTTTTTTTGTGAAAAACAAACAAACATATATGAAGTAATGAATTAAAGTTTGAAAAATTGTAGGAAAAAAGACCAATTGCTAAGATTCCTTACCTGTTGCATAAAAATACATTAATGCGTCGCCAACGCATAATAATTTACAAAGTCGACACTACTTGTGAAAATAAGATGGTAAAAAACTTCCATAGTTGGCCTTGTGTAAAATTACTTCTTTTTTTTCCGTTGAAGCCTTCAATGAAGTCTACCTAGTTTTGTGGGCTTTGGCCAATTTCTTCTTTCTTTTCTTTACGGCTTTCGGCACTTTAGTCTTTCGAGCCTCCCTTTTCTCCTCTTTGACTTTCTTTTTATTCTCTTTTCTAGCAGCTTTTTTGTCAACCTGCGCCGAATCATCATTCAACAGACCCTTCTCTTCCAAGTCACTCGAGTTCTCTTCATCCTCACCTGTTTCAGAATCAGATGCAAACTCAGCTTCGGATTCACTCTCCTGAGAATTAGGATGGCCAGATGAATTGGTCATAGACCCTTCTACAGGTCCCGTGTTATTATCCCGCTGCTGCTCCACTAGTGAAGATTGACCTTTAGGGAGAGCCTCCTTTAGTCCTGTAATAGTCTTGTAATATAAGTCTCCAGTGTCCTTGCCACTTGTTATCCGTATTACGTCCTCCTCAACATTCTTGACATGATCTAGTGTCTTAGGAATATATGACTGAGGAAAAGGAACAAATAATCATGAAGTTAATATTCACAACGAATTTATGAAACCTGATATTCTATCTTAATGCAAGTATGATGCAAAATCTTGAAACTTTATTGCAAAAGCAGATGGTAAATCCTCAAGATAGGTTGTAAGTAAAAGGAAAAGACTTTCTAGACCAAGCATAGGTTACATGGTCTCTTGTGGGACTTTAGTGACAATGTGTGACGGTAGAGAATCATAGCAAAAGATATACGAAAACTGGTAATAAATCAAAGCAGGTTGGCTGACATAATCTTTTGCACTTTGTTGGGAAAAGGATGGACTCAGATGCATCCCAGAGAAAAGTAGGATTTATTTCAACAAACCTGAACAAAAACAGAATCTGCAATTTCATCCTCCACAGACATATCTCCTCTTGCTAAAATCTTCTGTTGAACCTGAAATGATATATATGTTAAGATAGAAGCATGAATATAGATTTAGTTTTGAATTTATACGAAAAGTGTGTGAAGCAAATACAAAGGATAAACCTCTTCCAAATAACTATCCACAGACTCGTCCGTGATTGTTGGATCCACTATGAAGTCAAATAACTCTCGAATTGTCATGACAGCAACACCATGTTTTCTAAAAAAATCCTGCATGGGTACAATGTATGATCAGCTCTAGCAGTTGTCCAGTCAGTCAAAGACAATGTTGCATTCCTCTTATCCAAATAAATATTTACTATATGACAAGAAAAGCATAACAAGTAATCTTATTTAAGGGAGACTGGAGGAAGGAACCAAAATAATGAAGGAAACATACAGAAACATGAACACAATCTTCACGCAAGAAATCCAGGGCGTGTGGGTGGTCAAGATCAACCGATTGAGATACGTCAATTATGTACAAATGCCCCTGTAAAGTGGAAAATTTTCAAATGAACCTAGAATTACTTAAAGTTCTTTTTTTCCTCTTTGACTATGTTTTTGCTCAGAATCTACAAAAAAGAAGGGCTGAAAGAAACTTGTATTATCGGTAGCAAGGAAATGAAAATATTAGTCATCACCTCGAAATAAAGTATGTTATATTCACTGAGATCTCCATGAACCAGTTTGCATTTCTGGTATAACGTCCGCATTGCAACTATCATCTAGGGAAAAGAGGGCCAAGTTTAGCATGTGGAGAAAAGAAAGAGAAAAATGAAGTAATATAACTTAAAACATTTTGGGAAGCCCAGAATAATGTTATTGTCACTTGACATAAGGACACACCTCAACATAACATTCCCGTAACTTGTCCAAAGATAACGAGGCGTCTTTAAGACGAGGTGCAGCCCAACCAGCTTTTCCTGTAACACAGTTTTAGCACCAAAAACCCATGTAAAAACAGCATAACAAAAACGGTAAAACCACTTGCATATGTCCTGATTATCAGACAGACGTGAAGTAATAATGATAAAGATTTCACATACCTATGAATTCCATGACCAGCACATGAAGTCTCAAAAGTAAGGGGTTTGGACACCTAATCCCTGCAGCCTTAAGCCTGCAACTCAAAACAAACATATCCACTGATGGAATGCAAACAAAAATGATGCACACATAATTATTGATGTGCCTCTATTAACAGAAGCAAAGGTCAACTTTTAAGAAACAATATTTTTTTTTGTTTTACCTCATAAGATTCCTCATTTCTTTCTCAGCCCATGTCTTCACCATTTTTCTAGGATTGTGCTTACAATAACCATATCTGAATCGGTAATCACCTTGTACATATCGATCACGATCCCTGAAGTTATTATTAGAAACCATTTGATTACATTGGTGACATATATAAACATTGGCACAAAAACATGGAATTTAATATTGTTAAGGTATAAAATCGTATAGCAGTTCTTACAAAATTAATTCGCTACACAAAATATGGAACAAGAGACAAGCCAATATGTATAATGAAATTGAGAACATTCACCCAAAAACAATATCAAATGGAATGTAAAAATTATGCTTAAATCCCATGCCCTCATCTCACCATTACTAACTATTTACAAATGAAAAGTAAAGTTGTACAAAGTTAGGAATAATTAAACAGAAGATGTTTGAGTCCAATCATCTAATAAAAAACCCACTTACTTGAAAACCAAAACAGAAGTTTTATACACTTTGATTGCCAGCTCCTGACCATCCGATTTTGTTGCATGATATACATTTGCCTGTACAAAAGACAAACTAAATATCACATGAATTCATCAAACTATGATACTACAAACTGATGCATAAGAAATTAACATCAAATAATAACATCACATTTCATACTTCTTTTCCAGTTGAGATGCAGCCATTTATATCATGAAATACACCTCGGTTCAGCATTTTAAACAGAACCATACGAGTTCTTGGATCAATAGCCTGCAGAACATCATCATGAGCGACTCAATCTTCCAAATGACTAGTAATTAATAAGATTAAAAAGTATCATTAAATATTCAGGGTGATCAATTATGAGTATTTCACCTGCTCAACAGTAGCACGATCAGCTTTCTCTGTAGTTTTTGTTTTACCGATGGCCATGTCACGAACACTTTCACGAATTGCAGTTGTAACTGAATTAGACATTCCAACATTTAACCTCCCTTCCCACTCCTACACCATCCAATTCAATCACCAATACAACTAAAAGAAACGAGGCAGAAAAGGAACAATAAACTTAAATTTAGCAATAATAATCCATTTTTACCTCTAAAGGGAAAGCTTGAATATGACTAGAGAACTTCTGGTTACGGTTAGAGAGAGGTTGAAGAGCGGAGGAATTAGGCCGTGAGTGATGGCCGCCGTGAGCGTTAGGTCGCCTCGAAGTAAGCGCGAAAGAACCATCGATGGACTCCTCATCATCCTTTGGAATCCAAATAATCCAATGCCTCGCCAATTTCAGAATCGGATGACCACGAAAAATCTTCCTCGTCGTCTTCGAATGCTGCAGCACCGTTCGGTGCTTCTTCTGGCTTCTCTTCCAACTGAGACATCCCGCCGATATGGCTTTGGCACTTCCAGAAAAAAACGAGAAGGTGGTTGGCGGCAATCGGTTACGGGGATAAAACCCTAAACTCCCTGAAAACGAACAAAATTTCTCTTTACTTAAATGGGCTGGCTTGCTGGTCCAACCGAGATCTCTGGCGGAACTTTTCGGGTAGGCATTTTTTTCTACTTATCTATGAATAAAATAATTAAGAACATTTTGGTATTGTTTTTAAAAAAATTTAAAGTAATTTTAAATTTAATTATTTAAAATTATTGTAAAAATGTAAAATGATAAAAATATTTATTTTAGATATTAAATTATAAATTTTAAGTTATATTTAAATTTATTAATATTATTTTTCATTCATATATTACACATTTAAATTATTATTTTATTAAATTAATTAAAGAATATAAATTTTTAATATTAAAATTTATAATTTACAAAAAACATATCATTGAGTATAGTCATAGAAACAATGCAATCAATGCCGTGCATAATCATACTCACAAAATCAAAACAAAAATGAGGTTCGGATCATGAAGCTTAAAAATCTATCCACAACACACAAACAGAAATTATGATGTAGTTCGGAGTTACACGTGCATCTAGGGACTCACACCTTTATAACTCAATAATAATGATGATTTGGGTGAGGCGTGGGTCATTCTCGCATCACGAACGTACATTTAATGGCCCAAGTGTCTCGAGTGAGACTTGGAGCACATCTGCATCATGAACATATTATTCTCATATCCATTTTTAAGATTTTGGTTGTCCTTGGGAGAATAAAAAATTAGGGCCTTAATTAAAGATTTAAATTACAGTTTGTATTTATGTCTTCAGTTGTATTGTGTTTTATCACTACTGCAGATATAATAGATGATGTTGTAGTCACTGCAAGTACTGTGATTGTGAATTTTTAATAAATATGTTACTATGGACATAACGATTGTAGATATCGCGGTTTCAGGCAATATCATTACCACTACATGATGGTAATTGCTGCGGTTCCATACCGTTATTTAAGTAAATGTTTCTAATAAAAAGTATTGAAAAAAATAAATCTTAATGGCAATTCCATAATAACAAATATTAAAAAATAGCTCTCTAATAACAAATATATAAAATATATTATAAAAAATTTGGGCCCCGGACATGCTGAGATACGACTCTAACTTCTGTAGAGTACAGGAAGAAGTGTAGGTCATAAGAGCATGACATCAATATCCAACTAGTAGACTTTTAATGCCTTGATACAACTCTTAAGATATTAGATAACTCATCAAATATATTTATGTGACAATGAAATAAGTTTTATAGAATATCTCATCATAATGTTGTTATGAAATAAGTTTATTAACTATCACTAATCTCGAGGCAAGTTTATCAACCGCTTGTTAGATATTCAAAAAGTAACCAAACGCTTGCCTTGATGAGTAAGAAGCGATGAGTAGTTTTAAGTAGTGCTGAAGTTGAGATTGGTACACTTGCACCAGGAATTTGTAAGGGAGTGTAGATTTAGAGATTATTGTTTTTATATACAAGATTTGAAGATGAGTTAAAAATGATTAGTTCAAGGTCCTAAGTGAAAACCAATATGCTATAAGCAATAAGCATTGTTAAAAATATGTTGAGTTAGGCAATGAAGTGCATATATTTCTTCTACATTTACACAGATATGAACAAACTACGCAACAAGGCAGTCACACTTCAATTCCGACTGACTAAGTGCACCTGTTGTTCTTCATTTACAGGAATGGCACATGAAAGAAATATCCATTTCCAGGTATCTGCAATCTCCCAATAATCTGCACCAATAACCATATAGCGGATAATTATGGCATTCATATATAACATCTCACCAACTATATTCTGGATGTTGCACTCTGATTTTGGTTCTGTTGCAGCAGAAATGGAAGGCTACTCTACCCGAACCGTCTCAGAAGAGCAAAACCTTGTAGAATTCGAGTGATCAGAGATCCTAAAGTTCCAGAGTTCTTTAGAAGAAACCAAGTTCTCTTCACAAAGGAATTCCCGAGAAAACCACTTTTCTATTGTCCGGTGAACGTCATGCACTACGACATGAGTCGTCGTTCCAGCTCTGGCTAACATGCTTGCAGTGTAGATAGTTGACATCCTGCCTGGTGCATCCAGTGCGTTCCCGATCGGTCCTTCGACCACCACAACATCCCATTTGATCTGATACTGTTAGGTATGGCTCATAAATATACCAGTAAAGAGGACAGGAGATGGAGCGGAGTGAGCGAAGCGAACGCAGCGAACATCAACTGTCCTTACAAAGAAAGTCTCGTCGTGGGGTTACGAATTATGTGGGTTGGGGGTACGGGGGCGCAGCCCCCGCGGTACAGTACAGGGTTAATTTTGTAATTATGTACCAGGGTTTTCTATTATAAATAGAGATGTAACCTAGACCTAAAATATCATTGAATAAAAAAAAAAACTTCTAGCGCCGCCTAGGCACCGAGGACGTAAGCACATTGCCGAACCTCGTAAAATTCTCGTGTTCTTTTGTTTTCTTTACCCGTTTTCGTCAACAGATACACTTCTTTTGATAATGTTCTCAACGCCAATTTGCAAGTTGATTGTTGGAACAGACTTGTGATAGGAGTGCAAGCAGGATTTCCCCTGGCATGCTTGAGCAGCTCGTATGCCTTCTTAGCTGGTACCTTGTACTTAACCTCATAAATCCAATTCCCGTTCGAATTAGCCTTGATTTCACTTATCTTGTAAGGGTCATCCTCAAGAAAAATAGTGATGCCCCCTGCATTTGTTGATGAGAGATCGAGGTATTGGGACTGAAGGCCAAAAACGAGGAGGTTACAAGGCGCTTTACTGCTAACGAGATTCGAAAGAAGCATGAACTCCTTTGGGGTGAGAAGGGTTGCATTGAGGGAGGCTTTATGTGAACCCGCCTTTGATGGAACCTTACTGCATTCACGAGGAGATGAACACTCCTGCTGCATAGGCGACGACCGGCAGCCAGAGACGAGGAATTCATCGCGGTGATCGCAAGTTTAAGAAGTCTGAGAATGGAAAGGTACGCCAGGATGAAAACAAGCACAGGCAGTAGTTTCTTTCCAGGGAATTTCATCTTTAAAGCTGATGCTATGCCAAATTTGGGGCTGTATGAGGCTGCAGAGCTCGAAAACTGAATCGAAGGAGCGATCAGAAGGGCATGGGCTTGAGATACTTCAGGAGGCATTTCTTCTCTAGATTTTTTCCTTTTCAGTACTTTACGGGAACTATATGACAACCTACACACAGAGAAATTTGTGAGGTTTCTTTTATATGAAAGAAGACAGTCTTGAGACCAAAAGAGCTAAATTTGGGATTCATATCATGTTGCGTGAGGAAGAAGAAAGGTCTGTGGGTTTGTTTTCGAGTGTTACACCTTTCCTTTATTATCAGCTATCAGCAATCCACCTAACTGAAATGTGGATCTGTATAATCATTAAGGTTTGGTGTTCCCATCATGTTGCATAAATGGTCTGAAATCATTAACACGTTTCTGTGATTCTTAGATTTATATTTTAACTGTTTTGGTGGGTTTGAGTAATGGTTAAGGAGGCTCCCTTCAGTTTGTTGCCCCATCCCTTTCAATCTTTCTTTACTTCCTTTTTTGGTACACTTGCTTATTGCATGTGAAAACTGCAAGTTTTTGGCAGATTGGGTGCTACTTCATGCACTTGTATTGTATTTTGTGTATATGCTGATATTTTATTAGTCTGATATAGATTTTAACATTTTTAATTAATTTCTAGTGCTAATGTTATTTTTTTAATATTCCCTTTTGGCTATTGCTTTATGTAACGGGTCATTACTTTCTTCTGGAGAAAAAAACCATATATGATTAGATCTACAATGCCACTAGTTGTGAAACAGATTATGCATATTGAGATGCCCTGAAAAAAAATCTATGAACCTTTCAAAGACTTTTCACATTTGTGAGAATTCAATGCAATATAAATCTATAGAGCAAAGGAAAACTAGGATTCAGGGCTCAGTACACATTTGTGAAACAGGTTATGCATATTGAGATGTCACTTTTTAAAAGTGATTGCATGACATTGGAAAAGAGAGTTCTCGGGCAACAATATCTACATCACAGACAAATGTGCTCGCAGACCACCAATATTTCGCTTTACTCAAAATTATTCGAGTTGTTTTGACTCAACTCAATAAGTTTCAATAAAAATTTATTCAATATGTGCTCATTAAAAAACTTTTTGTTCATTAAGCTCGTTAGAATTTATGCCTTGCTTTCTTTAATGCATGTAAAATATAGCAATAATATTATATAAAACTTAATATAAACATAAATTAATAAATTTAACCAAAAAAATATTAAAAGTGTGCGAAGCAATTCAAAGTCACAAATAACCAAACTAACATATTAAACGCCATCATGGAAAACAAAAAGTTTAAGAATACATAATCCTAAAAATAAGGCAATCAATATTTTAAAAAATTATTAAAAAATTAAGGAACTACTAGTGAAATTATCAAATGAGTTAAACCTTGTTGTACTTGATTCATTAAGGTATCAAGACGAGTTCAAATTCAAGTCGAATAAATTCATAGAACATTGACCGAGTCGAACTCGAACCGCTCAAGTCTGAGTTTACAAGCACAGGGGAAACCAAGAGTGACAAGTAGAAGGAAGTTGATGGAATGGTGAAGATTGGAGGGCATCTGGCAGGAAGATAACTAACCGGAATCAGGGACAATATGGAGCTTGCTTCGCAAAGCATATGAACGTACAAAATGCTGCCCCCAGAATGTAGAATTTGCTAGTAGAAATTAGACAATGCCGAAATGATTGTTGAAGCTTACGATTTAAAAGAAATGAAACAAGAGGTTGTTGAATCATCCGGAAAACATGACAAGAAGTGCACATTATGATTAGGCAAGTTTTAATGTCACCTGCCTCGACTCAAGCTCCAAGGAATTGTATAGAAGCACTAAATATGAGTCAAAGCAAAGGTGTTTGAGATGTCGTCGAATGCAAGCATAAAACAATAGCAAACCAAAATTCCTTGCAGCTCAACTCCAACTGTCTGCCCAATTGCTTAGCTTAACAAAAACAACATTAGCAAGTCTGGATGGACAAAATTACTTTAATACAAAAACAACCTTCAAATTGAAAATTCTCAAAATCAACCAACATTAAACCTACCCTTGCCCGTCAACATTCCCCTCAGCTTCGTTACCTCCGCCTCCATAGGAGGCATCCTCCGCCCCGGTCGTCTTCCAGACACTCTGCCATGCCTGGGAAGGAGGCTGACCATAAATACCAGCGGTGGGGTCGACGGATGGTCTCCCAATCATCATCCCACCAGGCTGACCCATGGGAGGATAAAAGTAGGGCACCCCACTGACGGCAGCCCCCACCATCCCACCCAAAAACAGCCTCTTCATTGATCTCATCTCTGGGCACGATATCACCAGGAAATTGAAAATGGCGGCGGCGATGTCGTTCTTCTGAAGCGTGCGTCGCTTGTTCTCCTCGGCGTGAAGCCAGGAGCGGATGGTGTGTTCCCATATGAAAAGATCGCAAGCCTTGGCAAAGAGAATGGGGGCCTCGGAGGAGATCATGCGGACATCTTCGTCGGCCTTCATGATCTTCTTGATGCGAGCGAGGGGGAGTTGGTGGTTCTTGAAGTCGTTAACCTGCTCGATTTCATGGCGCTGGTAAGACCAGAACATTTGGAGTTGCTGCTGCTCCTGCTGCTGGAGAAGGTGGTGGAAAGGAGGAACGGCGGCGGAAGTGGGGGGTTGAGGAAGATAAGGAGAGGACCGAGCTTGGTGGTTGGTGTCCATTGGGAGAGGTACGTGGGAAAAGCAGAGGTTTTGCATTTTTATTTTATGGATTGGATCGGGTAGACTTGGGGTTTGATCGTAGGGATAGGGTTGAAGATGATTGAGATGGATGCTTTAAGGGTCAGATTTGGATGGGATAAAGTACCGCTTGCCCTTTCACCTGAAATTTTTAATTGGATATGTTCCCTTGACTTCATTTCTAAAATTTAATAAAATGTTGTCTCCATTTCTCATTTTATTACAAGAAAAAAGTTCTTTAACTTAAGAGTAAACTGCATTAAGTAATAAATACCACTGAAGTTTAGGATAAAATATTTGGAACATTTTAAATTTGGATGATTCAACTAAAAGTTTACTTATAGTCAAGTGATTATTTGGATAATTTACCCTTTTAACCATGATTGATGCTTTTTATAATAATTAATTAATATAATTTTGGAATCTACACTCATGCAAATGTATAAAGGACAAGGATTCGAACAATCGCAACTACATGAAATTTCGCAAATTTGTAAAAGGTGCAAGGGGTGTGAGTTTACAAGAGAGGGCATGCGGCTGACTGGGGGCCTTAGGTGTTGATTGAACAACGCTAGAGTGCCTAGTACTGCCAAGGCTCGGTGGGGGCCTAGGTTTCCAGATGCGAGGGCAGTGAGCGTTGTGAGGATTTAGAGTTCTAAAAGCAAGGGTGGTGAGCTATACGAGAGCCTAAGGTTACAAGTTAGGGGTGTAATTTCAACGAAACAAAGGGAGCTGAGAGGCTATCAGGGTTTGGATGAACAATAAAGACGAGAGGCAAATGGTCTAGTAAAGAGACACGGTTGCTGACAGAAGGAACACGACGAGAGTGGAAGGGCGTTGGGATTTAAATGAATGAAAACGAGAGTGCAAAAGGTTTGGTATTTGGACAAAACAAAAGTTAATAGTCCAATGATAAAAATATAATGAAATGATAACGTAAGTGATCAAAACAAAACCAGTGATCAAACCGAAAACAAAAGAGATTAATGTATTTTACCCAAAAGTGAAACATAGGACTGAGAATCATATACTATTTACACACGATTCTGGTAAATACACATAACGAAAGGAGATTGTTGTTTGTACAAACGGTCAATTAATCAAGGATCAGATAAGAGAGCATTTATAGACCCATGGATGCAAACTAGAATCTGAAGCAAATTCTTTTGTTTCATCTAATGCTACAGTTTATTTTATATATTCCGTCATTCAGTTTCAGTTATAAACAAATAATGGAAAATAATCATAGCTCAACACTCTAAGCCATGCATCCAGCAAGCCGAAACCTGATAAAATTATGATTTCTCGATTTGATTCGAGAAGGATATGAAATCAAGCTCCATGTATTTAAAGGAAAGTTGAATAATTTCATCTTACAATTTATGAGTTACAAATGGGAAGAAGTTTATACCGGTGCTAATTCCCGGATCTCTTCAAGAAAGCTAATAAGCCAAGCCCAGCAGCAACTGCAGCCCCAGCAGCAACAGCACTGTATGCAGCAGACCATGCATCGGAGTTGGCATAATCTAGGCTTCCTGAACCAGAACCCATTCGATGTCCTTTTGTTCCTGAATAATCTAGATGCAATCGCAAACCCTGCAGAAGTCATCAGATCAGTTGTATCAACTTAAGAGACCACGAATAAGATGCTTGGGAACCGCAAACTATAAAACCTGCGAGTGATTAGAACTACAATGAAATAATGTCTTAATGGATATCCATCAAAGATCGTCAATTTGTTTTTACAAGTTTTCTTTGGACTCATTGTACGAGCTATATCTAGTTCCAAGCATCTTTCCATCATACATAAGTGTATTATTGTTAGCGAATAACGAGTAAAGTACGCTGTAAAATGCTCAAGTAAGCGTAAATCCATTTAAATCACACAGTCCAATCATACCTTCCAACCAACTAACTTTGCATGCTCAACAGCCTCTGAAAGATCACGGTCGGATGCCAATACAACTTTGTCATGGTCTTCATCTTCATACTGCATGAAATCTCCACCGATTAGCATAAATTTTGGAGATAAAAGTTAAATACCAAATTAATCATCATGAACAGTCCATTCCCCCTGCACCTAAAAACCTACCAAAATTTGAGGTACACTGTTTCTATCTATGTCGTCCTCCAGCCTATTGAGGATTGCTGTTATTAGATCTGTCAAACTCCGTGTATCTGTATACAGAAGCAACAAACAAAAACCGTATTAAAGGCCTTACAGAAGAATTAGGTCCCTCCGATAATATTTTCATGATTGTGGGAAATACAATCGCCTGCTAGCTCAAAAGGTGCTACAGTTGTAGGGCCAATAACCAAATGCAAATCATACTAGATATAATCCATAAGATCAGAACGTAATCCAAAAATTATTCCCGAAGCTACTGTCATGTAAAAGTTAACTTGGCCAAGAAAAGTTTTGGCAACGTAGCAAAAATTTAAGAAGTGAAAATATAAGCAACACTAAATGTTACGATCATACCAATTTGTTACAATCATGTGTTTGTGACTGATAGTTCAGCTCGTCAAAGGGAGACTGAAACCTTTCAGCTCGTCAAAGGTATATTGAAACCTTAGGATTCGTTAAAGAGAGACCCAAATCTTTTAGGGTTTTGATATAAATTCTGCTTAGGGGTTTACTATTTAATGTCCTTTAAAAACGGACTAGTCTTATTACATAAAGGAAACCTACTCTTAAAAGGAAAATAAAATCAATAGCATACCACAAGTAAATCTATGCATTCGTCCCCTTTTATCTTGTATTTTGAAGCCAAACGTATTTGGCATATTGGATGAAGCATAGGGAAGAGATCTCCCTGTCTCTGCTCCATCACTGAAACATCACTATGAATAAGTTAGTGGACAGTAATGGCACAAATCACAACTATATAATCAGAGAAACATCAACAAAACAAACCTCCGACTCTCATTATCCTCTTCATTGGGAGGTAAGGCCATTGCAGAATCCCAAAACTTCTGCATCATTGTTGTGGCAGCCTCATTATTGACACCAGAAGTACTCCCAACCTAGTTTTGAAGAACACGAGGAGACCGTAACAAGTTAAATACTTTCGAATAAATATCCATACATTACAGCACTTATCCATTAAAATTACATTAAGAACATCATAATCTTAGAAAGATACTCACTTGACTTAAAGTAGCGATAGCAGCATGAGTAATATGGATTACATCAAAAACAGCAACTATATCTCCATCTGCATCCATCAATAGAAAATAACTGGTTTAATGCATGTACAACACTAGAATCTTTGCAAAGTAGTAACTCGTATCACCTCTATCTACAACAGGGAGGTGCAAAAATTTTCCATTATGCATGGTATGCAAAGCATCAACAATCGGCGTGTCAACTGTTGCACATTCTGGGTTAGGAGTCATGACCTATGCAGTGAATCAAAAGCAAATTGACGAGCATATTTTAGAGGTGAAAATGATGAGTCGGTACAAAAGCTTATAAGGTTAATATATGAAAAGGAAAACAGCATATCCAAAAGTGCCAAATACCTTCTCCACAGCAGTAGTCTCTGGAGGCAGATTTTGTGCTATTACCCGCATCAATAAATCCTTTGAACTGTCAGAAATTCGGAGGCATAGGTTACTAGGTTAGAGTATATGTCAAAAAACAACTACAATTGAAAGTAAAACAGATTGGTAATACTCCTTCCTCAACCACATAGAAAATGACGTTGAATTGCATTTTGATTCAAAAAAGACTCACGTTAGAATCCCTCGTGGTTTGTTTTCAATTGTCACAACTGCAGAGTTTACTTGAGATTCAAGCATCTTTTTCGCAGCCACTAAAACCTTGTCATCTGGTGAAACTGTTACAATCCTGATAGATAGGCATTATGTTAAGCTAAGCTACTAATAGTATCAAGAACAAACAAAATATCATCAAAAGAGGTTGTATAAAGGACCAGATAGATATAACAAAAAGAAAGTATTACCTACTTTGGATTGTCTGTAATAATCGTAGACATTGAGGGCCTGAACATTCGCTCACGAAGTGTCTCAATGAATGTACTCTGACCTGCATATCACACCAAAAGATAGCACAGACTTAAAACAGGTCAACTGAAATCTAAAATAAAAACAGAAAATGCATAATACAAGGGCCAAAATTAAAAAGGAGAGAAGGTACAAATACAAATATAAGGGCCAAAAGCAAAAAGTTGAAAGGTACAACTTGCAAAAACAACTTCATTGAAGACAAGAAAACATCATCCACCAACCTGAGAGAGAAGTTCCCCAATTTTTTTCTACACCTTCAACAGCAGCAGCAATAGCATTTCCCTTTTCAGCTGCCCTTTCCATTCGAGCAATAGCATCATACAAACACTTAGCTATATCAAGCAAAGCAATGACTTCCCCATTTTCTACAACAGGCAAGTGTCTAAACTTTCCTGTTTAGAAGGATATATGAACAACATTAGAGGTAAGATTTGAGAAAATATAACACACAGAGGGTAGATGTGCATAACGAAAGGCAAACCATGAACCATCTTCTGAAGTGCCTCCACTGCAAGAGTATCAGAAAGAACAAACAAAGGGTTCTTGGTCATTACTTTCGAAACTGGTGTCTCCTCCAGATTAAGATTCTTGGCAATCACTCTCGTTGCTATGTCCTTCAGCCAATAAAGAACAAGAACCAATAAACAAGACACATCATAGTTATTACAGTTCAGTGCCCAGAAAGGATGCAACCCCCCCACCCCCACCCCACACACAAAAAAAAAAGAAAAAAAAAACAAATGAGTGGAACCAAAGAATAAATAATATGAAGAAAGAGCATTCCTCATGCAAATGTCAAATCCAAAATGCCCGAGAGAGAAAGGGATAAGATATGAAGTGAAAGTGAAGAACTAATTCATACAGTTTGTCTCCACTCCACTAGTTTCGATATTTTAAATGTAAGTGGATTGGTTACAGTTCACAAGGAAATCAATAATACCTTATCTGTGAGGATCCCACAAAGTAATGCATTAGAGTCAGTAAGCAATAAAGCATCAACTCTACGAGCAGCCATTCTACGGCAAGCTTCATAAACGCTTGTACTATCAGGTACCGTCAGGGCCTTTGAAAGTCGCAACCTCCTCACAGTACGCTCTCCAGCTAGTCCCCTTTCCACATGCAAGTTGATACAAAAAGTTCCATTACTACTTTCAAGATAAAATTTTACATTGGTTGGAACTTCAAAATATAAACCTTTTTTTCATCAATAATTTGACAGAATGAACAAAATAAAAACATAAACTTTCACAAACTATCAGTGGTCGCTATGGATTTTATCCACTTAGAAAAATAAAAAGAAACTACAAAATAAATATACATAGTCAGAACTGATAGCAGCTTCTACTCTTCTGGAAACTGGACTTAAGATTTCAAAGAAAGGGGAAAGCTTTTAGAGTGTGGACACATTTTAAAGGTTCATATTTAAAGCAATGCAACTAAATAGATACACCAATTGTTCCAAGTCCAACCCTTCAACTTAATTGAAGTACCCATTGTAGAAAGGCATTTGACACCTCAACATGTGCTTGTTTTATTAATAAAAGAATATGAGCTTGCAAATAAAAGAAAAACTGAACGATCCTATGACAGACATGTTGCCAAGCAACACAGGCAACACTCCCAATGCATAATAAAAGCTAAAGACGAAAAACATCATGGTTGCTAGTTGCTAATGATATCCAACTTCCATCGTAATGAATATACCTGCCAACATCCCTTTCCTTTATATTAGGCAAACAACTTGCGCTTCCTAGGCAGTATTTACGAGCTAACAACCTAAAACCTAAGACTAAACAGCAAAAACATTTTATTCTCAAGATAAATGCCATTTTTCATAATTTAATTTACACAGAACTTCAATAATTCTTCAATATTCAAATTAAACTAATATATTTTAAAAATGATATTAAAAAGAAAATAAGAGTTGAAACAAAAAATACTTACATAGGACGAGAAGATGGTACGAGTTTTCGGCTGGTGTCGGAATCTCCATTCTCCGGTGATTTCTTCCTTGTCGACGACAAGTTTACCATTGATGAACTTCGCCTAGATGAACCTCTCTGACTTGCCATATCCAATCCCTGCTAAACATGTAGAATTTCCATCAAAGAAACATATAATAAAAATAAATCAATAAAATAAACAAACAGCTTACCTGAATCAGAAACTTGTTTTAAATCCTATGTCCAATCCAGAGATTGCAGTAGTATCGCTAAAAAAATTAAAAAAGGAGTTCGATTCTTTTGATGCAGAATGAGAAGAGGTTTAGCCGGAAAATCAAGCGATCCAAACAAAAGGAAGACTCTAGGCTTTAAAGGCACAATCGCCGGAAATTTTCGATTTTCAAGATTTTGACGAGGAAAAGAAAAGCCGGTCGAGAAAATTTGGATTCTCCCGGAAAATGCTAATGGAGACCAAAACGCTAAGAAATGGGAAAGCGTGTGAAAATTGGTGGGATAAAAAACAAGATTCTTCCACGTGGGATGTTGTTTTAGCTGTAATTACTCCAATTAAATGGGGTTTGGGAGGTTTTTACAATTTTAGCCAAGCCGGTTTGGTTGTTTTTTATGGGTAAAGTACATAAATGGTCCTCCAATTATAGGGATTTGCTTTATTAAATCCCTTAACTATTAAAAATTATAAAATAGTCCCTAATTATATGGCATTACTTTGTTGAGTCCCCTAATGTTAAAAGCTACAAAATGGACACATAACTGTTCGTATGTTCCAAACTCGTCTTTCTCCATTAAAAAATTGACGACAATCTCAGTTGAACGTTAACCTATTGATTAGGATATAATAAAATTTGATCTCAGAATCTCAAATGACTATTATATCATCGTCAACATGTTAACGTCTAGCTTAGAAGGCCGTCAATTTTTTAACGAAAAAGGATGAGTTTGAAATATATGAATAGTCGAGTGACTATTTTGTAATTTTTAATAATCTAGGGACTCAATAAAGTACTACCATATAGTCAGAGGACTATTTTATAATTTCTAATAGTAGGAGGACTCAACAAAATAATATCATATAATTGGAGGATCATTTGTGTACTTTACTCTTTTTTATTATGAATAATAAAATGGTTAATTCCCTTTTAATATTAAAACTAAATAATCATTCTTTTTGGCCTTCCATTTTTTCTGCATCTAAAGTTGACAAGCTGTTTTGAAAGCTTATACAGCATGCGAGCCTATCTTAGTTGACTTGTTATCAATTATTATTAATTCAAAGTTAAAAGACAACAAAAATCTTAGATTAAATTTATATTTTTTATATTTAAATATATTTACATTACAATAAGTCTTAAATTTTAATTGAGTTAAATAATATTTAATCTGATGTTATATCTCATTATCATTTAAATTCAGCATGTATGCCCATGCTGCTTTGAACAATTCAATCATAACATAGTCATTAGACAAATAAATAGCTTTCAATATTTTTGCCCATAAGGAATCGTATTTGATATTAGTATCTTAAATTATATCTGTTTATCGGATTATTTTTAAATAACTTTTAAAATTTTTCATAGATTGTTAAAATTTTCAAAAAAATAATTCAGACTTAAAATAATTTTTCTCGTAACGATAGTAGCTGAATTTATAAAAAAAAGTGATGTTAGATCAATATTATAAAATAAAAAAATTGTATAAGAACAATTAAAATATTTAATGAAAAGAAATCAATTAAATATAAATTAAAATTTAATGATAAAAAGATATTTACTTAAGATACATTCGCGAGATGCTAAAGAAAGAATGGAACGAAAGAGTTCTTTACATTTAAAGAGAAGACAACCAGATCGCAAACAAGTTAGAAACAAACGACCCCACTAACCTAGAGGTTCACGGTCTCACTACACCATCCACAGACTTTGCAGGTAGGGGTGTTCATTCGGTTAAAACGGTGGTCGATCGAACTGAATTAACTATAATTGAATTAATCAAACTTTTTTTTTTCTTTAATCGTTAACCGAACCGAATTTTTTTCGAACATATTAACCGAACCGAATAAATTTCGGTTAATTCGGTTAATTTCGAATTAACCGAATTTTTTTTAAAATTTTCTAATTTATATAAAAATTAAATATTTTTTAATTCAAAACAATTTTATAATTAATTTAAATAATATATAATTATAAAATAAAATTTTACATAAATTTTTAATTAATATATAATTTAAGTTTAAAAATTATTGGATCTTAAATTATTGGGTTTTAAATGGTTTGGGCTTAGCCCATATTTATATATAATATATTAATAATTTTAATTAAAAAACAGTTTGCAATTAATTTAAATAATATTATTAAAATAAAAAATTATATAATTTATATAATTTTTTAATTAATTAATATTGATTTAAGTTTAAAAGTTATTGGATCTTAAATTATTAATTGGGTTTTAAATGATTTGGGTTGAGCCCATATGTTATATATAATATATTTAATATTTAAAATTTAATTTCGGTTAATTCGGTTAATTCGGTTAATTAACCGAATTCGAACCGAATTAACCGTTAACCGAATTCTAAAAATTTTCTTAACTGTTAACCGACCGAACTAATTCGGTAACCGAACCGAATTAACCGAACTAATTCGGTTCTGTCGGTTAACCGAATTAGTTCGATTATTTGAACACCCCTATTTGCAGGATTCCAGCAAGATGATGAAAACTCATATTAGCTAGCTATAGAAGCTTTTCCACTTACTCATAAAAAAAATATTTACTTGAGATAAAGGTAACACCCTAATCTGGCCCGATTCTAAGATCGAAGGACCAAGGTATTACACGAACTACTGAAACGACTGACCGAATTTTTTTTTTCAAATCATGTGCAAATAATCATTATAAAACCATCCATAATAGTTATAAAGTAAAACATACTGATAATTCAGTTTACAAAATATATGGAAGTACCCAATGGTAAAACTCCAAAAATACAATAAGTTTAAACAGAGTTATGACTTGAATTAATACAAGGTCCATAAAGTACATTCCCTCTAAAAGACTCAAGACATACATTGAAAAGCGGCTGATCTAGAATGTATTTGCGCAATAAGCTCCTCGTCGATCCTCTATTGACTTGCGCACGGAAACAAATTCTGAACGTTCAGCTCACAAGCTCAGTGCCACACTAATAACTATACTTTACTACATGCATTCATTTTATGAACATGCTGACAAATAAAAGTATGAGCATACGAAAGTATTTAGTACGTGTTTAGGTAGGTCTAGTGTTGTAGTCGGAGGAATTTTCTGCATCTTAGGATGACACCCTAGGCTACCTAGGATACCTTCGGGTATCAAAGTGAGATCCGGAATTTTCTACATCGGAAACATACATCTGACCAACTTACTCCATTGAGTCTTGGCGCATATATGCCCATTCGACAACTTAAGTGCCTTAGCACTAACTAGCATATCCAGATAATTTTAGTAAATCGATCATGTTCACCTACCAAAGTAGCTTGGGTGTCTTGATCGTTTCCCGAGCATCAAACAATAGCTAGTTTTATGTCACCCTAGTTTACTCCATTTCTAGTTGTCTTTACAATTATTTAAGGTGTTCTCTCTTTTTGTCTTATTTCATAAGTTCGGACAACCCTAGACCACTTTTACCCAAATGTTTAACTTAAAGGATTTCTTATCCAAATCATGATGTGGGTACAGATACTCTACTTAGAGTATCGGTACTTATGGGCTAGAGTATCGATACTTTTCTTGGTATCTATACAAATATTAAGTTCGAAGCTTGGAAAATTAAGGTGAGTATAGATACCCTTATTTAGGGTATCGATACCCTCTCTATGGTATCGATACTCCCCTGAGTATTAGTACCAAAATAGCTTATTGGAATACAACTCTAAAAACGGTATCGATACCCTAGAGACAGTATTGATACCCCATGAATAGGTATCGATACTCTTGACCCCCAAATGCATTGTTTTGAAATATCTAAAGAACAATATCGGTATTGTTCCTCTAGTGTCCATACTCAGACCCAAAATGTCCTATTTTGGGCACAAAAATGTACTCAAGACCCTACCCATTCACTCTCCTAAGACCACCAAGTAGTATTTAAGTCTTATGTGAGTTATTAGAGGTTAAAAGGATTCATATTTCATGCTTAAAAACACTACAAATGAAATTCACCATGAAAATGTTTGGGCATGCTTCATGAACTCAACTAAGCAACCATGCACATATAATTAACTACATGTGGTATAGAAAAATTAGAAATATGTTACCTTAGTGCTAGGTTGTTGGAAAGCATCCTCAGCTCACTCAAGAACCAACTTTTCCTTGTCTTTTTCCTTAGAGCTTTCCCCTACCTCTTTCACTAAACGCAAGTAATGAGATAGATTACTAACCCACCTAATCTCACTTTAATAGTAGCTTGAATAAGAGATTGGAGAATGGAGATTTTATTTCTTACCTTACGACTTCGAAGTGAGAAATGGAAGACTACCAAGTTATCACCTTTGATCAAGAATAGGGAGTGGTAAGATGAAAGTTTGAGTGAAGGATTGAGACAATGTGAGTGGGGAAAAAGAGAAATGGAGATACCTTTTTTCTTTCTCTAGCCGTGACCTCATTCCCATTAATTGGGATTCAGCCTTTAAAATATAAAATGAGATAATCACTCCCTTGGCCACTCAAGTTTTGGTCATAAAGAAAAAAATACCATCTTTAACTTCAAATTAGGCTCAACCCAAGCCTAACTTTACCCAAACTTGGTTTAAAGCTTCCTATAAACTACCAGGTTTATCCAAAGTCCATCGTGGGTTAACCAAGAATTACTAACCCAAGATTTGGGATGTTACAACTCCCCCTCCTAAGAAGAAATTTATTTCTCGAAATTTACCTCAATAGAAAATATGTGGGCATTGAAGCTACATGTCCTCCTCGCCTCCTCGACCTAGTGGTTCCTCCACATGACCTTCACCAAGGGGATTCTCTTGTTCCTTGGTTCCTTTACATCCTTAGCGAAGATCTTGACGGCTCCTCTTCATAGTTCATGCCTTGACTTACTTCGATTTGTTCCAAATGTATGACGTGGGAAGTATCGGATCGGTACCTCTTAAACATGGACGCATGGAACACGTTGTGGATATGCTCCAACTCTAGGGGTAAGGCTAAACGATAGGCCACTAGTCCAACTCTCTCTAGAGTCTTGTACGGTCCTATGAAGCATGGAGTTAACTTCTCTCTACACTCAAATCGAAGCACTTTTTTCCATGGAGAAGTTTTGATGAACAACTAGTCTCTCATCATAAACTTTATATCCTTACGCTTCAGGTCAGCATATGACCTCTGTTTGTCAGAAGCTTCCTTCAATTGGCTTTGAATCAATCGAACTATCTCCTTAGTTTATCTAATTAGGTATGGGCCTATGACCTTCTCTTCACTAAG